ATTATTTTTTGACCTGATAAAATAAGCTCTACTTAGCTTCATGACTTGAAATCTCATTATTTCAAAAAGGGTCATATTGTATATACTTCAATGCCCAAAGTAGTACAATGGCGGACTTAATGCATTACAGCCTATGGCATAGGACTTAATGCATTACAGTCTATGGCATAGGCCATTCTCTCAGACTCCCAGTCAACCATTTGGCTAAACAGAGATAAACATATAAGAGGCGGTGCAGCAAAGATCTAAAAAGTATTGAATAAAGTTAAGAAATCATTATCTAAAAAGTATGTTGAAAGGCGGAATTCAATATGTGAATATAATATATATGTACTAGCTTGCCAGGCAGACAGTTGTTCTGCCCTTTTTGACGACCAGTTGTCATGTCCTATTAAAAATCCTTTGCAAAAAATAATTATGGGTCACACATGGGCAAAAAAACTATCCTATCTCTCAAGTTGGACTAAACTGTACACGGTGTGCAAATTTGATTAAAATCGGTTAAGTAGTTTAGAAGTCCATCGCGGACAAATAACGTGACACGTAATTTATATATATTAAGATGTATGTATATGTATATATACCAACCTAATTCTTCCAAAGCAACAAATACAAACAAAAGCTTAATTTAAATTCATACACATGTATTCTTAAATAATTATTATTTGTTCTTTTTTTGTACATATTCCAAAGTTTTCAATTTTACTGACAAATGGTAGAATATGAAACTTGGTAGTCAATTTTATGCTTTTTATGACTTTCATGAGTCAGATAGAATGCCTCTTTCTCAACTATCTTACCTGTCAAACTAAAAAGTCATTTTGAAGTAATATATGCACAAAATTGAAACTAGTTTGTGGTTTTGGCTAAGCTAAGCTTTCCATTGACGTCCGTCGAGTTGGGGGTTGATATTTTACAGAAAGGTTACATTAATATAAGCACACACGTAAAGTTTCAACATGCGGAAAAGCGTACTTTTTGAGAAAAAAATTATTGAAAATCAATTATTTTTGCAATATTTATGTTAATCCCTATCTCAGATTATATGATATTTTTTTACAGAAAGGTTACACTATTGTAAACACACGCGTAAAATTTCAACATGCGGAAACACGTACTTTTTGAGAAAAAATTATTGAAAATCAATTATTTTTATAATATTTACGTTAATCCTTACCACAGATTACTTACATCGAATTCTCGCCATTGAACGTTCGTTTTCCATATGGTTAAGTTGTCATACGTTCGGTAGCATTTTACGTAAATAATTATATTTTGTACTCATTTAAATAGTTTTCACGCATACACATATATTTAACAGTTTATATTTAAATTACTGAATTATTTTCATTATGAGCTATTAAAATTAAAATGTGTAGTGTTTACCGTTTTTTGCTGGTTTGTGGGACGTAACGTAAAACTGACGATTTCTAAGAATTAATTAAATCAATATGTGTATAAAATTGTATAAAACATGTGTATAAAACAGTACCCACCTATTAGGACAATAATAAAATAGGTTAGGTTCAACTTATGTCAAGGAACGGAATCAATAGACCCCGACTCCACGTGGTACGTGTCTACCCCTAGAGTGTTTTTATAGCGCTGGAGACGTTGCAGTCTCAAAATAGATACAGAAATCCCTCTATTTATTTTTGGTGAAGGGGGTTACCCCTTCCCCCCCAAGAGGTCCCCATGGTTTTTTTACACTTAATATTTATCCATAAAAAATAAAATTTCCTCAGAATTAAAATTGAAAAAACTCAAAAAAAGGGGGGGGGGGCTCCGCAACTTTTCCTTTTAAGGGGGAGTAGTAAACCTCCCCCTGCCCTCCCCCCACCCCCCCTCCCACTTCCAATTCGACGGACGTCAATGGAAAGTCGTACCGGTTAATTTAATGATTAATTGCAACCAATAAAAAAGCTCTTAAGAACTGCAGTCCCATGTGATGTAAGTAAAGTGTATAATGTATATGGTAATATGGTATTTATATAGTTTTCTTTAAGGATTACTCAGATATTTTATATGGGGATTACTATATTCAGGAGTGGACTTTGATAGATTGTACTGAAGATGATGATGATTATTCAGATGACCATCATCTGGATCTAACATGGATGGACAGACCACATACAGTACTTTGAATCCTGTTAATTCTTTCAACTAATTTATAATAATTGGATCGGACAAAGCATCCAAAGGATTGAAGTCTATAAAATTAGCACAAGCCTTTCCTTACACACTGCATATTACACTGCATATTATTTTTAACAATCAAATTTTATTTTAAAACAACAACAAACCTTAAGAAAGTTCCGGCATCACAATATATGAATAATTACATTTGGTCCTAAACCTATCAAATTTAAAGGCACAACTTGTACAACACAGTAAAATACATGCATCAAATGGTTCTCAAACAATAAACACAAGATTTCTTTTCACATAGTTATTGTATTTACTATCTTATTTTGTTATATTAATTGTAATAGTGGGTGTATTATAGAGCAAGTTGGATGAACAAGATCCATTCATTTATTTTGTATTGGTAGGTAGAAGGGTAATGTAGTGCCATGAGTAGGGACTGGTTTACTATGAAAGTAATGTCAATGAATATAATGTTAAAATAATTTTATATAATAATTTTATGATACTATAATTTATTTCAGTTTTTATTTATTTCCAGACCTACAAAGTGTATTCCGATTTTATTTTGTGGAATCACAAGCTGGTCCCTCTCAAATTATTGCTGCAAAACCACAAGCAGGATCTTCAAAAAGGACAACATTATATCCACTGAAGAACAACCACAAACATCAAAGCATAACACATAATGTTGAACCTGAAAAAGAAAGTACTCTATATGAAATTTTTTAAAATGAAGTAAGGAATATTTTTGTAATCTAATATTTAATATGTTTTATAATTTTGAATTAAAATTATTCTATTTATAAGCTGCATTCAATACTTAATATATTGCATATAATATAGAGACAAAATTTTTTGTGTCAATTCAGGGAAATAGATAGACAACCAAATATTATCAAAACAAAATTATTATTTGTGAATGTTGTACTTTGCACTTGTGTGTAGGAGCTTATTTATTAATTAACTTGTTTTTGATTAAAATATTGATATTTTAGTTATTGTAGACGTTCTGTGATTTGTGATTGTGCATATTATCAATTCATCAGTAAATCTTTTTTTAAATTGTTTATCATTGTTTACTTAAGTAATTGAAATGTTGTAATCTATATTGATTTTCTTTTCATGTTTAAACCCATCAAATGTCTTTATGAAAGAACTAAGCTGCTGGAGAAAATTTGTTTCTTAAGTTATGTATGTTTTTTATTTTGAATAAATAAATAGAAATTTTGTAATTTTTGTTCTTTTATTTAGCGCTGGGATAGGCAACCCAAAAATACCTAAATAAAAAAAAAAACAAAAAAGACCACATTCAAATTTTCCCGCCACACGAGAAGTGCAGGAGGCTGACGATAGATGGAGCTAGTATTTATATATCTCATTTCTTAAATTTTGTATGAAGTTGTCATTCTTCTCCGATAGGAGTAATAGTGTTCTGTGCTAGCGAGTGACTGATTAAAGTGCGGTGTATGCACCGCAGTTGAGTGGAACAGAATAACTGAATGCAGTGTCGCCTCTAGTATGTAGTACATAATAGCTCAATGTGAAAATCAATTATTTTTGCAATATTTATGTCAATCCATATCTCAGATTATGTATTTTTTTTTACAGAAAGGTTACACCTTTGTAAACGCAAACGCAAAATTTCAACATGCGGAAATGCATACTTTTTGAGAAAATTTTTTTTAAAAATCAATTATTTTTATAATATTTACGTCAATCCTTACCACAGATTACATCGAATTCTCGCCATTGAACGTTCGTTTTCCGTACAGTTAAGTTGTCATACGTTCGGTAGCATTTTATTGTACATTTTACGTAAATAATTATTTTTTGTACTCATTTAAATAGTTTTCATGCATACACATATATTTAACAGTTTATATTTAAATTGCAGAATTATTATCATTATGCGCTATTAAAATTAAAATGTGTAGTGTTTACTGTTATAATATGTGTATAAAATTGTATAAAACATGTGTAAAACAGTACCCACCTATTAGGACAGACAACAAATAAAATAGGTTAGGTTCAACTTACGTTAAGGAACCGAATCAATAGACCCCGACTCCACGTGGTACAAGTCTGTCCTAACCCTAGAGTGTTTTTATAGAGAAGGAGGCGCGTAGGGAGAGCAGCCTCCGCCTGCTACCTCGCCTCCGCAGCTTCGGCTTGTTGGTCGTCTTCGGCGACCAGCCTCAGCCGCTCCGGCTCGTCCGATGCCTACGATTTGTTACGCAAGCGCGTAGAGGCTGCTCTTTCCGCAGGGCCGGAGACATTGCAGTCTCAAAATAGATACAGAAATCCCTCTGAATGAGTCCCTCTATTTATTTTTGGTGAAGGGGGTTCCCGCTTCCTTAGGGGGTACCCCCTTCCGCCTCAAGAGGCCCCATGGTTTTTTACACTTAATATTTATCCATAAAAAATAAAATTTCCTCAGAATTAAAATTGAAAAAACTCAAAATGGGGGGGCTCCGCAACTTTTCCTTTTAAGGGGGAGTAGTACACCTCCCCCACACCCTCCCACCTCCAATTCGACGGACGTCAATGGAAAGTCGTACCGTGGTTTTAACTATAAACTTAGTTATTATTACAGGCACACCAAAGTTTTCGTTCATGACAAAAATATAAATATGTAATATTTTAATCTATGTTATAAATTTAAAATTACTCATATATGAAAAAAAATTTATTATCTAAATATACTTAAACTTCTGCACAAATTACACAACTTTTTTAAAACACAAGAAAGGTGTTTAATTTTGTACTAATGTTGTTATAATGTACTTCACAACTAAACATACACTTCACAAAACACATATCCAATAAAAAATTTAGTCTTATATACACAACTATCATGTTATATAGTTAGAATCATTTGAAAGGCTAGAATTAGTAACTTTTTTCTTGGCATTTCTTCTTGCTGCATAGGCAGACATTCTAGCCAAGCGTGCTTGCCTTTGATCAGTTGTTTCATTAGCCAGTCTCTTGGCAGCATACGCTGACATACGAGCTAAGCGCTTTGCCCTCTGCTCAGGTGATTCTTGTGCCAATCTTCTTGATGCATAGTCAGACATACGTTTAAGACGCATAGCTCTTTGCTCTGGAGTTTCATTAGCAAGCCTTTGTGATGCATATGCCGACATTTTTGCAAGTCTTAATGCTCGTTCTTCTGGCGTTTCATGTTTCTGTGCTGATCCTCTTCGACGTCGTTTCTTCTTCAACTCGTCAGTCAAGGGATCTTCGTCGTGATTAAAAGAGAACTGTTCTTCAGTATCTGATAAGACAGTTTGAATTTCATCATCCTGTTCTACTTTTATGTTTACAAATGGTGTTTGTTGTTCAGTAATAGAAAAGTTCGTAGAAATCATTTTACTTTCTTTCTCAGATTTTATTGTTGATACCCACTCATCATTTGATTTCGTGATTACCATTTTCTTCAAAGAACTACTATTACCAGCACTTAAATCATCCATATTGATTGTTTAAGGATAAGGATATCCACAGAACCATATTTTAAAGTTGAATAACCAAATTAATGAATAACGTTTTTGAAAATAAGGCGTCGCAGTGGGTTAATTACATATGCATAATGCAGACAATCGAACGATTGAAGTAATGTTTAGTTTAAACTCATCAAACACTTACTTTAATAATATGTAGGCTTGCAGAATCGATTTTGATCCCAAAATTTATCATAATTTTAAATAAAAATTTTAAAAGCTTTATAATTACAAATAAGCCACAACGGTATGTGTGTGTGGTTATATTTATATGCGTTTAGAATGCATCCGTAGACAGAGAAAACTGGACATATAGAAAATAAATATGTAGCAACCTATACATACAACACTCTCTGTCTACGATTGCATCTCTACCATAGACAATACATTTTTATTATGATTTTAGGCTTGTATGCTTGTCTTTTAAGCCATGTCTTCATTTCATTTGGAATCTCGTTTTTATAGTTTTTTCTTCACAATATGTTAGGTGCGTCAGATTGCGAAGTTCTAGGGAGATTTTAACGACAGCTCAATCCAGTGGACAGTCGATGATGACATTTATTCAAGTTCACAAGGCACCCGAGCGGTCAAAATAACTTGAGGTTTATATCAATATTCACTTGATTCGTATTTATTTCCAATAGTTCACATACATACACTTTTACGTATCAAAATCCACTTTATGGACAAGTTCCCGCCAAAACTCGCATAAACAATGAGGTACGAATCAAACCACAGATTAATAAATATGACATAAAGTTTTATTTTTAAGGTATTTTAATAGCATACGGGCCGTAGACAGAGAAACCTATAGACTAATGATCGGCGTGGCCTCGAGTGAGAAATGACGATAACGAATTTTTAGGTTATACAATAATCTTTATGACTTTTAAACACATTTAGATAAAAAATTTAATTGTTCTAAGAACAGAACTGAACAAGATTCACCAATCTTAGGCTCACACAACACTTTTTTCTCACTTAAACCAACTTGTAAACTCCTTAAATCGCTACGCTTTCAAAGTTTTTCAAACTCTACAGTTTGCTAAACAAAAAAACCGGCACGGTGAAAGGGACAAACAATCACACCGCTCTATCTCATTTCTATGCAAGTCGTATGCATAAATCTATCTTTTTCGTGTGCGAATGCGAAAGAAGGCTTCAATTTGTCTATAGGTTTCTCTGTCTACGATACGGGCTTTGAGTATTCAACCAACTGGAGAGGCCATGCGCGTTTATTCCTAAATAAAAATTCTGTCAACATCAGGGGGGCGCAAGAAAAACACACAACTATATACTTAAATACAAATGAAAAATTAAATCGCGTTACTATAAACGCACACTACAGCATTTGTGTTGGTGTTCATTGCGTTTACGCATACCATCAAATTGTACACGTGTACACTGTTGCCGCCATAAAGGTTAGAAAACAGGAGAACGATCACTACGTACTAAAAGCATAGCCCACCTGTCTTAGAAAATTGTAGAATTTATAGCGGCGCTGACGTCGGTGAGTAGTGACTGCGAAGTTAGCTGTTTATGAGTACAAGTAGATGAAGTTAGTTGAATAATGTACAAATTTTCTCCGCGGCATTATTGAGAAAATTTTCATGCTCCGTAATTTTGTAATTTTTTGACAAAAAGAAACATTAAAAAATGGAGAAATATTTTATTGTGCGTGGATGTGCAAGTGGTTTAGCATCTGATCGGAAAAATAGACTGAAAAGTCTTTTATTGACCATACTTAGTGATCGCAGCGCCTCACTTATGGTGTCCATATTTCTGGGACACTATTTTCTACGGCGATCGTTCTCCTGTTCCTTAACCTTCTTGGTTGCCGCTGTTCAAATGCGTAAGCAACGTAGGGCGTGGACTATGTCGATATTTTTTATCGATAATCAAATCACCATAGTCCGCATATGTTTTTATTTGATGATAAGTAATACATAAATAAATAATACCATGGCATTATTTGAAATTCTTTTTTTAAAATATTTAAAAATGATCTTCGGAGAAAAACTCTAAAATTATTGAAAGTAAGTTTACGATTTTGCTACAGGTTTATTTTACATCATGCAGGATAACATTTAAAACATGTAATAAATTGAAATGGGAGGTAAACCTAACTAAAGTTAACTTATTTTAATAAACAGGTTTGTAAAAAAGAAAAGTCGTATCACTTTATCGTTTTTATTCGAAGGCTTCAATTACAAAAGTTAGGAAAATAAAGTAGTTTTACGAAATATAATAGTTGAACAAAGTGAACTTTAAACAGACAGCTGCTTAAAAATAAAATGTGACATCTACCTAGGGCTAAGTATTCCACAGAAAGATGTTTTGCTTTAACTTTACATTACTATTCAACGAAAGCTTAACGATATGTGCGAAATATCAAAAGTTTTGAAAATTGTCTGCCTTCAACACGTACTATAACAAAGTGGTATTGTACAATTGATGGCTGACTTGGCTACACCAAAAAAGCGTTAACTGTTTTAAAACTTAGACTAGAGAGTAACCCTGACAAGAAATTGTATTGTATATTAGTGATATTTTGTTTATTACATAAAGATATTTTGGTTATGATAATTATGGATTTGACTTCATTTCTGACAATTCGTAGAACGCTTCTGATGATTTAGCATTTTTATTAATGGGCATTAATACTTCTTGTAAAATACCCATTGGGTACTTCTTAGTAAAGGGTACAAGTGCTGACCTAAAAGCAGCCCAACTCTTCTCTCATGGCGAGGTTGGTTTTTGTACTATCGCATGTCAACGCCTTTATTTCGATGCCAGTTTCTTGAACAAGATAGAAATCTTGTGTTACTAGCCGTGCTTTTAATTCAGCGCTCGTACCCTTAATCAAAAAGTTGGCTATGGATACTTTCCATGTTGTGCTTATACCGACAAATAAAAACATTAATGCGTAATCGACATAGCCATAATGCCTTTGGCTGCTAGCTGAGTGTTCCGTCAATTGCTTAAATTTCATTTCATCCATGACCAAGATACAATTTTTTTTTATCAGGGTTAATTGATAGAATGTGTCGATGGTGTGTCTTTCCTGGAATAGTGGTGTTGGGAGTGGTAGTGCCGAGAGTAGTGGTGTTGGGAGTAGTGGTGCTGGGATTAGTGGTGACGGGATTAGTGCACGCAATTGAGGGAGGGCGGGAGGTGCTCTTCAATCTAGGTAAGACACATCATTGTATTTAATGGGTGGATTGTTGCAAATTAAATATTAATATCTTTATTTATCAGGGTTACTCTCCGTCTCCGCTCCAATTTTAATGCCGTCAGCGCTTCTTGAGTAAACCCTGGTCAGCCATCGATAGTCCTGTACCACTTAACTTTTTTCAATACCACTTCGCGATTGAAGCCTTTGCTATTGTTTTTTTTATATCAAGGCGTTTTTTCAGTTTTATTTTCCTTGACGTATTTTCTAAGTGTTGGCTCGTACTTGCTGTGGGAGTAGGACTAGTTAGGGCTTTATAAGGAATTTTCTTCGAATTGTGACTTTCGAGACATTTAATGGAATTTTCCGGAACATCCAGTTTTCTTTTTTTTGATGTAGACGATGTTGTATAGTCACTACGATCACTAAGTCAGAAGATTCTAGCTATATATATATATATATATATATATATATATATCGCTACTAACTTATGTGAGAAGCTCCAGTCACTCATACATATGCTGCTGCATATTAGAAGGAAGCGGATGCCCACTGGTATCCCTCCTTGTAGAGAGGCTATATATATATATATATATATATATATATATATATATATATATATATATATATATATATATATATATATATATATATATATATATATATATATATTGAATATGATAGATTAATGCTTTTGTAAATTTATGGAAATTCTAATATATTTTCAAGTAGAATAATATAGGTGTCAAAAGTAATAATAAAAATATTTAATCGAAATATAATTATAGCCAAACATTACCTCCCACAAGTTCAAGGTTGGTACTGCAGTGTCGGCTAACCTTCTTTTATTGTTAACTTGGGGTATGAAATATGATTTTTCAAAAGGTTCGGAGCAAATGGTGATAGTTTAGGAATTCATGGTATCTAAGCTGCAAGCCAAGTTTGCCACCCAAGAGAATCTCTTGGAAGTCTGTAAAAACAAACTAATAATAGAAAAATTTACTACTTTTTGTAATACTTTATTATATTATGTAATGATTATTATTCATCACAAACTGATTTAGTTATTAGGAAATACATTTTCGTTAATATTGTGTAGTAAATTTAATTAAAAAAAAAGATTATTTTTAACTTTATGAACTACGATGTTCACATTTGGTATTTGACGAAAATTATTCAGAAAGTACGATTTTTAATGATTTGATTGTTTTTAGCATGTAAATAAAATACAGTTCGGCATTTTGTCGGTGCTCGATTTACTGGCACGATCGCGCACGACGCGGAGCAACTTGTTTTATATAATGGGCATTAGTCGAACTCTCGCACCTATTACAGAGGGGTATGCCTTGCAAAACCACCTCCTTAGGTTTAATACTTAAACTATACGGGTGATAAACGAACACACAGTCCACCTGATGATAAGTATATGCTGTAGCCCATAGACATCTACATTTATCCTCGATAAAGAATCAAAATGCTGATGCGTAGTCAGCCCTGAGGACTACGATGGAATGCCTCGTTTCCAGTAGAAAGGGGTCTCCGGATTTCTACACTCACCATACGAATCACAGCAACATTAAGCTGCTATTTCATGCTGGTATGCTGTGAGAGCGTAGTCCTTCCCCGTTCGAACCGACACATTTATGCTACAACCATAATATAGCTGTAGCGTGGTCCTACCACGTAAATACAGCTGCAGCATGTTCTTCTTATTCTTCCTTTCTGGTGGTTACTATAAATTCACCAATGACATGTTACACGTCGAAAGGTTTAACTGGAACACCAACCGTATAAAAAAAGG